CCCCAAGCCGCCCCCTGTAGGTATTTCCAGTTGGGCAAGGAAAATTGGGAGCAAACTTCTGCGGCAGTCCATGTTGCCATTTTGTGTGTGTGTGTGCGTGTTTGTTGTGGACACTGTCGCCAAATAGAAAAACCCTGCGCGTATGCGTATGTGCACACACACACACACACACACACACATATCCGTGTATATATATGCACATAACTGTGTAGAATCTTGTAGATGGCAATCATTTTAGCAGCCAGGCATTTATTTATATTCGTTTAATCATCGTTTAGATTGAGAGCTTCTTTCCATGAATGTGACAACAATGTTTGACAGAGTTGCCAAATCAACGCATTTTATCGATTTGCCAAAAAAATAAAGAAAAGTGCACAGCGCATTGAAATGGCACAACATGCAAATCAGTTTTGAGCGATGAGCGGGGGCAGAACTCAGCACGCACGACTGCAGAAGGGTTAAGATTGACGGCATTGTACGAGCACACACACACACACACACACACACACGCGCACACAGACAGTTGTGTGCAGATTTGTATCTGCGTTTGTGTATGTGTATTCATAAGCGAGCTACGTCACATACATGTGCACGCAAATGTGAGTATTTGCCAAGCACATAGGCGTAGCTAAGGAGGGGGACAGAGAAGACAGACAATATTGAAAGTTTGATATGTGAAATGTGCAAAATATACTCATTAATTGATTAATTTTGGTATAATTAAATACATATACTCTATACTCTATACTCTACAAACAATATTTGGTGTCCCTAGCTTCTATAAGCTCTTAGATGTGCATGATGCCAAGCTGGAAATATATATATTTTGTATGGTATCGGGTCCTATATATACATGTATATATATTGTAGAAGAATATTAATTTCTCAGAGATCAAATCGCAATGATAAATAATAACTACGTTTATTAGGCTATGTGTCTATCTAAGGCCTGTAATCTAACTCAAAGATAAACTCTTATCGTTTATGCTTTAATCTTCGCATCATCTTACATTCCTTAGAAGGATCCACTCTCATCCCCTCTTCCCTACATACACACGCGCCGTTGCTATATTCACACACACACACACACACACACACACACACTTTCACACAATATCATCAAACATTCACATATTTCAAGTGCTCTGTGATGGAAGGTAGCAGGAGGAAGTGGGGACAGGTGGGGGGGGGGAGAGTTTTGCTATACAAAACGCAGCAGCAGTGGAATTCACATAACCACATCAACCGACTACTCATGCCCCTCAGTCCTGCAATCAGTCAGCCCATCTGCCCTCCCGCCCAATCGCTCACTCCTCACTCTGTCTTGTATTTCGTTATCAATAAAGTGAAATTTAGTTTTGATTTCGTGTTTGTTGTTGTTATTGAAATTCATTGAACCAATTTTAATATTTTATTTGCTGCAGCACGCACGGAAAACGGGACACAGGACACGGGACAACAGGAGAGACAACTAACGGTACGTGAAACCCTTTCATATACATTAAAAATCTATACATGTGTGTGTGAGTTGCGTGCGCTGTCTGCGTATGTAGGTGTGTGGGTGTGTGTGTGTGTGTGTGTGTGACTATTTCCTGTGGCCGCCATTGTCGTTGTTGTTGTCATAATAGCGCGCCTCTGTTTCAGTTGTTTCTTTTTAGGCTTTGTTTTTTTGTCCATTGTTGTTTTTGTTTTTGTTGTTGTTTTGTTTGTTTTTGCGCATCGTAACAAAATTTGAATATTTTTTTCTCGTCGCCGCCCTGCAAATGGATTTTTTTCACAGATTTTCGTTGCCTTTTTTGCTGTTGTTGTTGTTGTTGGTATTTTTCGCTGTGTATGTGTGTGTGTGTGTGTGTATCGCCTTTCGCTTTGTTCGCTCGCTTATGATACCGTTATGATGTATTTTATTGCCACAACAAAACCAAACCAAAGCAACGCAACGCAACGCAACGGCACGCCCCCAAACTGCCTCATAGAGTGGCACTCATCCAGCCCCCAAGCCAGCCACCCCCCACACCCCTCACCCCACGCTGCCTGCTGTTCCCGCTGAACGGAAACCGACGACATTGTAAATTTTGTGCTGCCTCGTTTTTTGCTGCTCGCATTTTTGGCTGTTGGTGCGCGCCATTATAGATATGTTTTCCGATTCATTCAGTTCTGTTTTTTCTTTTTTTTTGTATTTTTTTTTGTTGTTATGCACAAGCCAAAGCCTTTTGTAATTGTTGTTGTCTTTGTGCTTTGATTTAATGTTGATAACAATAACAAGACTCAGCTACAAAAAAAAATATAACCCAAAACTTTGACAGAACGTTGGAAAAAGTGGGCAACAAATAAATAAAAAAAAATAGATTGAGAAAAAATGAACAAACGAAACGAACTTTGACGGAAACAGAAAGGGGTTCATTTGAAGGGTTTGACTTTTATAGTTTGTCCCGGATTCCTTTTAATAGGCCCAATAAGCATGTCTAATGGGCAACAAAAGTAGGTTGCCACAACCAAGAAGCAGGGCTACACGGCAAAAAAATATACACTAATAACAATAATAAATATTAGAACATTTTAGAAATATATTAAAAGAGTTAATTGACTGCCTATGGGACCTACATATACAATTGTACTCTAACCTACTTTAATTTTTTTTTTTTTAATTTTAGTTAGCTTTATTTTCTCACTGTGTACTTAGGGCGAATGTCAAGCGTGTTTTTCCATTAGGTCTCATTAATTTAGTTTGTAGCTATAATAATTCTCATTTATTCTTACTTGGGATTAGTTAGTGTTTATGTCATTGTTTTTATTTGCTCAGCACGCAAATTTTAGTGCCCGCCAGCCCCTCGACCAGACCACGACCCCCTCGCTGTGCCGGCAGCTACTTTAAAGTTGCCTTAAAGCTGGGGGCAGCGTTTGCTGCAGTTTTGTTTTTTTGCCCGCCGCGAGACTCATTTGTTTTTGTGTGTGCAGCAATCGGTAGACAATGCGTAAGGATATGCCAGCAAGGATATGCGAGACAGTCGAGACATACACGCACACGCACACACACACACAGACACACACGCACATTTAAAATTATGCAAATTTTATTGCGCAAACTGCTGCGTGGCGTCGTCGCCGGCAGAGGAAGCATGTTTTACAGAGTCTCGGACACAAAAAGGACCTTACACGGGCGTCGGCGTGCAGTGCCGAGCGCATTGTGCAGGACGTGGCTGCCTTTAAATGAAGAGCAAAGCTTTCATTATGGCAACAATGTTAAAATTATTGAGCAGACGACCCTCGACCCCCGCCAAGAAGACGAAGAAGAAGCATGAGCAGCAGCAACAGCAGTTGAACAAGAAGAAGAACATCCTGTGATCCCCACGCTTCACACCAAGACTAACTAAAAATGCACTTTAGTCCCCGCAGTCGGAATATTGTGCCACAGTTGGCGGCAGCCAGCGTACCGTGAAAATCGGCAAGGCGGCATTTTGTGCTCGAGTGAAAAATTGCTCAACTGTCGGTGGCCGGCACGGAAATGCGCGCCTACAAGGCCGGGGGCAGCAAGCCGAGAAGTTCCGTAGCAGCAGCAGCAGCAATGGCCGTACGTAGTCCAAGCCGACGACACTCCTAACCCAAATCGCTTAGCGAGCGCGCCAAACAGTTTACAGTTGGCGAATGGGCCACAACACCAGAAGCAGACGCAGCAGCAGCAGCCGCAGCAGAAACAACAGCAGCAGCAGCAGCTGGGCGCCAAATGCCGGCACTGGCGCCATCTATCGGCAGTTGGCGAATGATAGCAGCCATTTTGTTTATGCTCGTCTCGCTCGCATGCATGCAGCGCACATAACGCCATCTCGCTCCTTCCAGTCACCTGCGTCAATGCGACTGCGTCGCTCTGGCAACGCCCACTCTCAGAGCGCAACGTCTGCGCATTGCTATACGCCGACGCTGAGCGCACAGCCACGCCCACCAGACAGCCAGACAGAGACACAAGCACACATACACAACGAGACACACACACACACACACACACACACAGCCAGCGGCTGCTTCCAGTGCGAGAAGAGCGCGAGCCAGCTGGCTCGCTCTTTAAGACGATTTTCAACTCTGTTCAAAAGCTTTTTTCAGCACGCGTAAATTTTCAAATTTGAATTTGTGCGCCACAGAAAATGTAGAAAAAAAAAAAAAGAGAAGCAAAGTGTAAAACATGTTTTAGACAACAAATTTGAATTGTATTGCATGCTAAACAAGCATTGCCTAATTACATAAACAAACAGCGAGCCAGAGCAGCGGCTCATTACAGCAATAATTATTGGCATAAAAAGTGGAACGATAACGTTAATTGGGAATCGGTTTGATTAGCATGTGACGTAGCTGCCATGTTTAATAAACACTTTGCATGCCCATTAAAACTCAACTGTGAGCATAACTTGTCAGCTGATCAGCTGTTATTGGCGCTCTCTCTCTCTCTCACACACACACGCACACAGAAACAGACACTGCTGTCGATCGGGCATCTGTGTGTGTGTGCATGCAAATTGTTGGCGCTCTCTGGCAGCGCATTCTCTTAGCTTATTATTCATTTATTTGTTTGTTTTAATTTAATGCTTTTTTGCGCGCAAGGCAGTTTTTGCTCGTGTTTTTTTTTTGTTTTACTCGCTTAGCGATTAACATAAAAATGCATTGAGGTGACTTTTACTTTCAAGGTGATCGAGAACAACAGCAACAACAACAAGAAGAAGAACGAGCACGAGAACAACAACAAAGTGCCAGTCATGGGAGCTGCCTTTTAATTATGTTTAAGCCAAGGGGAGGTCGCTGCTGTCTGCCGCCGCAGGCAGGTGTTTGGCTCAAGTCCTGCGAGTCCTTTTTAGTGGCATATCAATAAACTATTTAGGGTAAGTTTTTATAGATCGCTTATCGCGAGCTGACGGCAACCGACTTTATGAGCAGCTCCCAACGGCTCTCGGGGATCCGTTACATTTTCAATTTGGTCGCGTTACATGCTAATGACACGCTGTCGACGTCGCGGTCGGCGTCGTGAACTTGACCGTGGCTATCAACGTTAAGAGATCTCTCTCAGCTTTTGCACTGGCCACGCAGACGGGCAATTTTCGGAGCGATCTAAGCGTGGACCCGTCCATTAATAATGCTGCCCCGTCGCGTCGGGTTCGTTCGCGTTGCGCTCCAGTGAACTCCAGTTCCAGCGAGGAGCTAGCTGGCTGCATTTTGGGTTTGAGTTCACGCTCCGATCCGGTTATGATACGCTCGATGTATCTCTAGTCGCTGCTCAGCGCAGCGTGCCGTGCATTCCATTGCAATGGCCAGCTAATGGATAGAGCTGTTTCTGTGGCACCGGACTGGGAATGCCATGATAAGCCAAGTTGTTCAATTAGAAATGCGATTTGTGCTAATCCCAAGACATGCGAACAGCTGGCGAAAGTCACCCAGATAAACCGTCGAGCAGCACCTGTGCTAATCAGCCCGCCCCCAGGCAAAACTCTAACGAATTCTAGTCAGCCAAGTAGCTGGCCCGCTTCTTGGAATAAAATGACTGGGATGTTCATCAACAACGCTCACAACACCCAAACGTGACTCCCAACGTTGACTGCCAAAAATGCTGCAAACGCACCCACAGCAGAGACGCGAAGGCGGAGACCCGACCGAAAGCCACAAAGTTCCATAAAAATTATACCAGTTCGCAGCATAATCTGGCAGACATGTGTGAATTTGCGGCATTATCTGCTAGCCAAGATCTGTTTCAGTTCAACAACAAAAGCAACAAACAACAAACTTTGTTCAGATCGCGCTCGCCGCAGTTTTTCCCACAGTCGATCAACATAAAATGAGATACGGAGAGATATTTGACAGTTACGTGATTTCTTTCTCGGTTCACCTTTGCGTTTTACTTCATGTTTATAATTTTTATTTTTATTTGTATTTTTTTATTGTGCAAATTGCAGCAGCAGCAGCAGCAGCAGCAACAGCAACAAAAACATATTCAAATCCAGGACAGTTCGCGCCACCAGATGGCGCTGCCTTAGTGAAGCCACAAACCCAACAAGCCCCCCCCAAAAAATAATATTCAATGCCTGGTTTTAAGGACATGCGTGCTGGCACCAGCCCGCCTCAAAGGAGCCCACGAACATCCCGGTGGAGTTCGTCCGGAGTTTCTGTGGATTTAGTCGACATCGGCAACGATTCGGGGGCGGACGTTGTCGGTCTTTGATGCGGGCAGCAAATGCTGCTATATCATATTTTAGAATATATTATTACAGATCTTTTATATCCAAAACAGGCAAATTTTAACATATCAATATGCTATTTTTTATGAATTATGAGTACTACTATCTATATATTTAGATAATTGCTTCAAATCTAATAATAATACGTAAGCTCGTTGGGTTAGGGCTGGAACTATTAGCGTAAGCCCAATATCGCGGGTATTACCCCTTTTGGCTAAAAGCCCGGGCCTGAAAGACACGCTTGTCTCTATTAGTCGCCTCGTACGACAAGCGATGATATGCTGTGGAGGTATTCTGAAGCCCGCCAACCACACGGACGACAAATAAAGATATAGATATGATTGCGAAATGGTTTATTTTTACCAAACATCGAACCATAAACCAAAGAAGTTGCACAATAAAAGACTTAAACAGAAACCGGCACTATATTGAATTACTATTGAGGGCCCAAAAGTGATCAGACATGGTCTCAACCAATGCGCATAATGTAAATAATATATTTGTGCCGATATCATATTTAGTAATTATATAGGAATGCTGGAGGAAATGAGTTAAAGGCCGATCGAATGGAAAGCAAAAGGTCTCATGCAAACGATTCCCACGATTTTTCCACACTTGACGGTGGAATTTCCCGAAACCCCCTCCCAGCGTGCACCGAACTTAACTACTTTCAAGATTTCAGCTACCCTTAACAGTTTGGACTGTGCGCTGATCACCAGTCAGTCAGTCAGTCAGTCAGTATGTTAGTCAATCAGTCAGAGAATTTTATATGATAAGTAGAAAAGGAAAATTAGAATAGTATCATTACGATTGTGAACAGATACCTGGGAAAGCAAGGTTCGACCCAAATCGGTGTTCAGATCTATTAAAAACTAAGTTCAGAGAAAAGAAATTTTTAGTTTCACGTATGTGAAAAACCAGGCTCAGGAGTCAAACCTTTCTTTGCAGCCCAGTTAATGAACAAACTGGGAATGCCTTAACACCTATTTGTATGTTTCTGGAAGAAGAGTTTATTCCAATGCACCCACAGCTAGACTCGACTGTATCAACTCATCATAGTTTATATCTAATGCTCACATATTCTTGGCATTTCGACGCAGCCCCAGCCAACTATTAGCACCCCCTCCGAATGTATTGTTAGCAACGCTTTTCCATTTTGTGCATCTGCTTTGCCGGAACATTTTCAGTGTCCAAGTGGCGTGGCAAGTCCGGCAACATTCTCATGTTCTTGAATGGCTCATAATTTACCTATGCCAGACAACACCGAAAATGAAATAAAAATTAGCATAATGTTTTTAGATGGAACAAACTAAACTAACAGCGTGCGATGTAGACGCAACATTTCCACAACTTTGCGTTAATTTTCTAAATATTTTTGAAAAATGTTCAAATTGTATTTGTGAGCGACGCGCCGCAGGCCACAGAAAATTCACAATAAAGTGTGGCAACTTTTGCAGCTTTTCAACTTTTCCACCAGCGCTTCAGTTGAATTTTTATAATTTGAAAATTATGAACTAAAATAATTTAATTTTTGTGCTTGGCACGCAGACGACGACGACGCTGACGACGATGTTGAGGAGGATGACGTTGATGCTCCCAGGCAAAAGCAGGTGGGCGTGTTTAAGGCCAGGGACGGACGGGAGGGGGGGCAGCTGTGGCATGGAGTGGGCAGTCAGGAAATTGAGTGCATAATATATAAATATATATATATATTTAGCTAGTTAGCTGGTGTGCACAATAAATACAAAAGCGCGTCGACTTAATAAATATGCATGAGCATTGTGTGCACAAAAGAATGCAACGCCCCCGCTGCCGTCCCGCCCACTGTGCACCTTGAGGCTGGGAGGGCTGCATCCATTTGACATCGCGTGCCGTCGAGTGATTTTCCCGCCGCATTGGCCAATTCTGGCGGCGCATGCTTGGCCCCAGCGGAAAAAAAAATAAAAAAACAAAAACAAAAGATAATAATAATTAAAGCGCGCCGAGCGGCAAAGCAAATCTCAGATTCGAGTGTCATGCAACAACAATCCGAGAATAGCTGCCGCTGCTGCTGCTGCCTTTGCCATTGCCCGAGTCGCCATTTTGGTGGGGCGCCTCACTTCCGGCGACCATTAACACATGTGTGACAAAGCGTGATGGAGCTGCAGCCGGAGTTGGAGTATGAGCTAGATCTGTAGCTGAAGCTAGCTGAGCTTTGCCCAGTCTGGCATTGGGCATTGGCTGACATTTGATTGTTATTTTCCAGGTAGACAAACTGCATCTGCTGTGCTTCCCATTGCGTGTAGTTCATTATATTGTTGTTAATGCCACACTGAGAGAAATCAGAGTCAGGCGAAATGCATCAAAGAGTCGCATAAGTGTGAAAAGTTATTAAGTTTCGATTCTTTTGGGAAAGTAAGGCGTAGAAACAATCGATTTAGGCACACGATAGCTATTGATGTCCATAATTATCGATAAGTGCAATATCGATAAAAATAAATATAAAACTCTGGATATTATGGTTAACTTAATGTAAATTAGCCTTTAATTGACGTGTCGAAGATAAAATACTCCTGTGAAAGTTATTTTACACAAAAGTCTAGTGTCGATATATTATCGATATTTGTATCGATTCTTCCTGATAAAGCGATATTATATAACAGTTCGATAAGTGAAGCTTGTAACTGCTGAGTTTGCTCAAGTCTTTCATATGAAAATTAAATTTAATGAGTAAATGCCAAGTTTTATTTTAGATAACTTTAAAGCCAAAACATTTTTCGGTCTCGTATATTTCGACTCTATTGATCAAAAATATATATGCTCTATGCGGTTTGTTGTCTCCTTCAATGCGTGACATAATTATAATGCGCTCCAAAAAGCTAACTCATCACATGTTCCATGAAAAACTCTCGTGTTTCAATCAAACATAAATCTCACATAAATCAAAATACCAAAAACAAATAAACATCCAATATTTGATAAAAATATATATATACATATATAAAGAGTATATATATTTGCTTAAGTTTTTAGGAAAATTGCGAAATCTTAGAGTACTCAATCTAAACCACCGATGCCCGCTCAATCCCTGTGAGGCCCAACAATGTTCAAGATCAAAGAGTTGCTGTATCGCTATGGACTCTGGACTGTGGAGCAGCCGCTGCCGAACAGCTCCAACTGCACCATATGCTTCGACATGGCCAACGACGAGGACGAGGTCTTGATTGTGCACCGGTTGCCCTGCGGACATTTGTTTCACAAGAACTGCATCTTGCGCTGGCTGAGCTGCAACAACGTCTGCCCCAATTGCCGGCGCGAGGTGCATGCAGCAGCCCCGCCCCGCCGGGAATATCAGCATATGGGCGCCGATCATCAGCCCGTCGGCGCCGCCGTGCTGCTCTGGCCACGCGGTCGTCCACCGGTCTCCACCTACGTGCATCGCCTGCAGCCGGCACTTGATCAGGCAACAAATACAAGAATTTTCACGGAACCATGGTCATAGTTAAATGCAAAGCTAAGCCGTCCATTTTATAGGGTATTCGTTAGCTTATAACTTCAAATTGTTTTTCTTTTCTTTTCTTTTCTTTTGATTTATTGCATTTTGGTTAATGTTCAATATTTTGTGTGTTCGTCTTGGTTTAGAGTTGGTTGTAAATTCATTAAATGTGTGTTTTTTTCAGTGTACGCTTGTTGGCTTTTCGATCGGTCGAAAAAGGAGTTTTTGTATGAAAAACTTATGGTTTTTAAGATATCTTAACCATATTCGGCATTAACTATTTTCCCTGTTCGGTCTGCAAGGGTCTTGAATCTTCGTTCTTTTCTTTTCGGTTGTGTGTTCTTGGTTGAAAGTCGATTGTAAATGCATTCATGCTGGTGTTTTTCTCTCAGTGTATGCTTGTTGCCTTTTGTGTGCCAGCGGCAGCGGCAGTAACAACAACAGACCGACACATCCAAACATTCAACGTTCAACATCCGCCTTCGCAGTTGGCGTCGCAGTCGGCGTCGCCGTCGCAGTTGTCTGGCCAGCACTGCAAATTTCTACATGGCCGCTCAACTGAAAATTGTTTGTGCAGTTTTTAATTTTTTTTTTTTAACATGTTTTTGTTGTTGTTTTGGGGTGCCTGTTGTAAATTGCGATTTCCCGTTGGTTCGGTATTCTTTTTTATTTTTTTATATTTATTATTTTTTTGTACGGCATTTATTTATTATTTTAATTATATTATTTTAATTACAACGTGTAATCAATGCAAAGCGCCCGGAGCTTGTAAATTATATGGATGATGTGCTTAATGTTAAATCGGTTCATTAAAATGACAAGTTAAACCATAAAAAACCACTCACGGTTCGAGGGACACAGTTGTAAATTTAAATTCAAATAAATACGTATATATCTATATATATTTCATTTAATCGCAAGAGAAATTAATGCTAATGCGGTCAATAACAATTACTTAATAATTAGTTTGATTACCCGCAATTATTTATATCAGTTGTCAGTACGAATTTATACAAATATTTATCACTTTGTTTACCAAAAATTTAAAATATAAAATAAAAAATATAAATAAAATAAAATTATCTTAAAAAAAATAAGAAGAAATGAATGCCCTTTTTGTCATTTTGAAAAATCATATAATAGCAAATTGGAAAGTTTAGTTCCGACCGATTATTCACAGCGAAGTCTTATAATAAAGTTCGATGCAACTTTGCAAATAGTTTAAGGTCACAGATGGAAGAGAAGCTTCAAATTAGATATCTATACGAAAACTCATTGCACGCCAGATTGTTTCAATAGAAAATTATAATATATATAGTAGTCCAATGCTTACAGGAACCCTCCAGAAGGGTCTTAAAAGAATCTACATTACAACCTTTACAATGAATCAAAAGTAAAACGAATTAAAAAGCTCCGCTTTTAGAATAAGAACTTCCATATTAATATATATAGATTCTTTAAAATAATTCAGAAATTAAAGTCATGAATGAAGTAGAAAGCGAAATCAATTAAGAACATAAACAACAGATGAAATATTCATATGGTTCACATGAAAATAATATTCAATTTAAGACCAGAAACTTAAACAAATCCCTAGTCCCTGGCATTTGGCTAACGTTTCAGTCTATTGTTCGGCCCAACCCGGGGCTCAGTTTGTGGTCAAGCAAAAGCCTTTAAATCAAATTACCAGCAAACAAGAAAATTTCTTGTACTCGAATCGGCGGGGGTCAGGAATGCAAATTGTCAGCGCCGAAACGTGGTGAGAGCGGGAGGCAGGGAGGGGTCGGCATTTGTTTATTGGTGTAACACGGCATGTTCCCTTTTCGGACATGAATATCTTGAGGAAAAAGACGGAAGTTTGATTTGCTAATGAACCGAAGGGATGTCCTGCTGACTGTAAACTTCTGACCTGGCAGTTAACGGACCGCATACACGTTTGCCCAAAAATATATTGGCCAGAAAATCACATTTGATTTGTTGTTTTTGGCGACTCTTCGGAATGCCAGGCACGTTTGCGTGTCCTGCCACAGGACATTGTCAGGCCATGTAAGGTGTTCTTTTGTTTGTCTTTCAGACATTGCAGCCCTTCAGTTGTCAGCTCGTCAGCTCGTCCGACTTGACTTGTTGCATGCGTCAAGTGGCTGCCAGGACATGCCAGGACAGCTGCCCCTCGTGTGATATTTAAATTAAATTTTAGCGACAATTCCAGATCAAGCGCCAGTTAATGCATGTGTTTTGCTCTATGCCGGAGGCTTCATTATAATCAACCTGACGCCAGTGCCAAACAGCTTTTGTTGCCATTTCATTTGCATGCGATTGCCATCATTTTCCGCCAGCCATACGAAATATATTTACCCAGCCATTTGACTCAATAATAAGCATGATTGTTTATTTGAAGCTACGCCGCAGCCCGCCTTCCGCCAACCGCCCCTCTTACCGCTGCATGCTCTTGAATGCTTTTTATTAAATTGCAGAAGCAACTGGCAAAATTTATTGCAATTTTTTTTTTATTATATGTATATTTTACTGAACGTCTTTGGCTCTAACCTTCAACCGTTAGCGCTGCCATTAGCTGGAAAGCCTCGCTGGCAGCTGGCCCGCCCCCTCAGGCAGACTAACGCCCTCCTGTCTGCTTTTGTTTTTGAAGTAGGCAACATTGTGCAAGTGCAAGGCGAACAAAAAATAAAAATATCAAAAAAAAAAAGAAAGCTAAAGAAATAACATGGGGAACTTAAGTAAACATTAATTTACATAACTTCTGTGCAAATGACGACAACGGGCAGCGGCGACGCGGCGACGACGACGACGTGGGCGCGGGCACGGGCATGGGCGTGGGCTGGGCCACACGATGCCTGGGCACTGAAACAGAAGCCGGATCTGGGCCCGGACGCAGGCGTCAGAGCTCTTGTAGCCCGGCGTTATTAAAAAATTTAAAGCATGTTTTGCGGCGCGGCGCAGGACGCGGTGGCAGGACGAGCGCAGAGCGCTTGAAACACTGGCAATATGGCTCTGCTTAGTTGTCAACGCCCCAACTTGTGTGTGCCTGAATGTGTGTGTGTGTGTGTGTTTGTGTGCCTGAGTGTGTGTTGGGCTGTGCTGGGCTGTTTGTGTTTGTGATCGACTGCGCACATAAGCAAGCAGCGTGCTTCTCTTCTTTTTTTTTTTTTTCATTTCCTTGTAGCAGCAACCGGCGATTGTGTCAGAGAAGTGCCAGCGTCTGTTTTCAATGTTGCCAGAGTCATTTCCTTTTGTAGCCACTTGTGTGTGTGGCAATTGGAGTACGGGCAAGAAGCAGCGTTTAGCATGCAGCCAACCAGACGAGAGAATGCGCTACAGGGCCACAGAATGTATGTGTGTAAAATAGGGCAGAAGTCCTGTGTGCTGGTTGCATTATACTGTTCGAGATTTTGAATATAGAATAGGGTTTCGAAAGCAAATAAATATAATGTAGCCAAAGCTAAATTATTTGTATACAAAAGAGTAGTCTTCGTAAGCTTCCTTTTGGGCTCGAAAGTGAGTACTAAGATAGAAGTTTGGAAACACTTCAACTGGAACGCATACAAACATGCTTTGCATATGTGAATTCATGGGTCTGCTTGGCTTAGTTATCTAAAAGTTGAGCTAGCAAGCGCGAGATCGCTGGTTCTAACTACCTATATTAGGACAGAATTATGATATTTTCATAACCACATCTTAATACAATAAAATAAGCAATTCGTATATACAAAATGTATATGTATTAATTTGTGTTTTTTTTACAAATCTACTTTATATATTTTTTCAATATACTCCAATATAATGGGCAAATAATATATACTACATTTTTTATAAAAACTCGTTGTTTTTTTACCAATTATCAACATTTTTTTTGTATTCTTACCATTTGTATAACCTGAATTTACTTCAAATTGTAATCCATTTAACAGGCCCAAACATTTCTAAGCCCATAAAAATACCCTACACAAGAATTAATCAAGCGAGTTACAATGACAGCGCATATTATTTTCTTCTTTGTGTCATTACCAGAGCACCAAGTCGCATAGTCCCCATTTCGCCCCAAACCTCAACTGCCCCCTCCCCCCTTCACACTCCATGACCAAACAGGCAGCAGCAGCCCCACCCATGCTCGACACTGCGCAGCTTAGCGAAATTGTTTGCGAAAATACAACACAATATTCAAGAATAATGATGACATTGTTGACTTCAGAACCCCGCGCGTCATATAAAAAAAAAGACGAGGAAATGGAACCCCACATAACCACAAGGACATCTTCCGCAGGATTAAACGCCCTAAACGCCCCGCTTCAGACACTGCAACGCCCTCTAACTGAGGGAGAGAGTGAGAGGGAGAGAGCGGAAAGCGCAAAGTTAGAAAAAAACGCAAACACAATTACCATATTGTATGATATGCGGCTAAAACCGGAACGGTGCTGAACGGAACGGAGTGGAATGGAACGGAAGGGCGCCACGTCGCCCGCTTGGCAAACAAACTTTCGAAATATAAATTGAAATGAATTGAAGTTATGGCATTAGACAGTTTTCAAAATTATCATGTGACATGCAGGCACAAGCCCAGGGAAATCGCCCAACTTTAACTGTTATGTGAATTTGCATTTAGAATATGTTGCATACTGTTAAGCGCAGAGCTGCCAAGTGTCTATGGGCATCTATGAAGTAAGAAAAGATAAAGATAACTGGGTTCGAATCCCAGGAGTATATAGGATATGGGATTGTCTTAGCCGAATGTTATAGATGCTATTATTTAAAATTAAATGTTTATGAAATTTATCATAATGATAATCATAATGAAAACGATGATGATAATGATAATGTTCATTATAATGATAATGATAATGATAATGATAATGATAATGATAATGATAATGATAATGATAATGATAATGATAATGATAATGATAATGATAATGATAATGATAATGATAATGATAATGATAATGATAATGATAATAATGATAAGCATAATAATGATAATGATAATGATAATG